CTTAGCTCGACGTATCCTGCCAAAGATTCTTCAGAGCGAACAAATGTTTTGACATTCGAGTTGTTAGATATTTTGATCGGATCAAATATTTGATATATATTCAGATCATTCTTTCCGTACTAAGTTAATGACGCGATATTCCTTTTACTGCAATGTACCAGGTAAATTGCTTATGTACCGCTTCAAAAGTAAAAACACCATCGAAATCTCAAAACAGTCCCTAGGTTAATCACGAAATGACGCATTATTATTTTCTTGCCTTTCAGAGTGTGGAAGTATCAGGAACAAACCATTTCATTGTTGACATGACGTTTTAAAAACTGCATCTCTTCCTCAAAATATGATTTCTGCATGCAATCAAACAATTACACAATCTGCCGAAGAGCTTCAACATTCATGAGAAACACAACCGCAGTCCGAAAGTGGCCTGCAGAACTGTAAGATAACTAGGAGGCTGTGACGGTAGTAAAAATCGATACACACATACTACTGTAGTTACAGTTCAGTGAAGTTTTTAAAGTATATAAACTTCTTTACTTGTTTTTTCTTATCGTCTTCCACACGAGGAGCGCTAACGACCATTTTGAAGAACATAGGCTATGTTTAGCGGAGATTCTCAGTCCATCCAATCACCGGCTGGAAGAATATTCCAAAATATCGACGTGTAGCTTCCGGAGGGAGCAAGTGCTAAAAGTCATTGCATGCGGATTGGATGACCGTGATGATGATTACACTTTTACTAATAACTATAAATAACTGAGTATTTTGTACCATATTAGACACTGTTTGTAATAAGATTTCCTCCTACCGTTCTTTTGTCTTCTAACTTATGACTTGAAGGGTTCAGGCGTTCAAGTTGTGCCCGTAGTCGTAGCTCTAGGTACAACAACTGACAATGGGGTCAACTTATCAAAATGTCATTTACTATTGACCGAGTCAAAGCTCAAGAAGTTCTAGACATATCAATATCACTATCAGATATATTACGAACAATTTCATGTTCTATTTACATTCAAAGCACATGCTTTCCGAATTCCGGTATTCCGAATAGTAATGTGTCATTTCGTTATAGCACACTTAACACATCAAACCGAGACGAACGAACTTGAAAGCAAGCCACTACACACCGACTCTGAGTGAACTCATGTCTTAAAGATCAATGACAGTTGTTTCTTCCTGAAAAATGTCCACATCAAATTTCAATGGCTGATCGGATTCAAAAGATTGTAAGGGTTTGGATCTCAAGTTTTTTTCATTGCTAGACAAAGTCAAGTCCATGGATAGCGTGTCATAAAGCTGTTAGGACACGGATAGCTGTGAACCATCTCAAAAAAAACTTACGATATAAACCCGACGATGTACGGGAACTCAAAATAACTACTTGCAGCTATGGAACTCAGACCTACGTTATCAATCATGACTTAATGGCCTTACAGTCTACAAAAAATATTAACTCTAAGACATTAGTACGATTTATTAAACGAGGAATGGAGTTGTTACAGCCGCAAAATGAAACGTCCGAAATTCCTACACCTATTCAAAGTCAACAAAAAAAAGAGCACAATCCAGTTTTTATTTGGCTGAAAGATAGATTAAAACCGACGGTGCACACTATTATCCCTTGTCGCATGTCTTCATAAATCTACAGAACTCCTAACGGCGCACATGCTACATAGTTAGTCTGGCCTACAAACACGCCATCGACCGGTTCGAACTAAGCCGGTCAAGGCAGGTGGAACAAAAGAGATAACTTTAATCCCAAAATTACTTCCGCCATCTCTCGCTCTCATATTAAGTGCCGGCTACTTGAAGTGATACACAAACACGGCTCCAGAAGAATACAAAATACTTAAATCCAACAGTGGGGTGGTTTTATTATCAGTCAGATTTTTACTGAAGGTTACAAAAAATGATAAATAAAGTGAAAACGTCCTGTCGAGTTACTCAGGTATCGGAAAGAACACAGTGGTCATTGTTCAACCCAGTTAATTTATGTACGACACTCGCCTTGCCAGACAAATATATTGGGAGCTCAAACGTTACGTCGGTGTAAACAACCAAATACGTATTTCATATAAGATGATATATAGAAGCAATAAAGTCAACTGACCCGCACATTTTGGCGGACGAAACGTTCGTGCCCACTACAATGGAAATCACATTCATTGTATCTGATGAATTCGATAGTATGTCACAGCCGTCTGTTAAATAAGTACTTAAGAAGGTTCGACAGTATTACTTACTTAATTACGCCTGTTACTCCCAATGAAGCATAGGCCGCCGGTCAGCATCCTCTATCCCACTCTGTCCTTGGCCTTCCTTTCTAGTTCGATCCAGTTGTTATTCATTCTTCTCATGTCTGTTTCCATTTCCCGGCGTTATGTATTCTTTGGTCTTCCTCTTCTACTTTGGCCATCAGGATTCCAATTGAGAGCTTGCCTTGTGACACAGTTGGGTGCTTTCCTCAATGTGTATCCTCCTGTAGCCCCCTCGGGGCTACTGCCGGTCCCAAGCTCGGATAAAGGAGGAGGGTTGGGCATGGGGTTAGCGACCACATTCCGTAGAAAACTGACTCGCTAGAAAACTCGAACCAGAATAAAATTATTCAGGCCCGACAGTATTAACTGTAGACAAACTTAAAGGTTAGAGACGTTGTAGTGGCAATGAGCCCTAACCACAAAATTATCAAAGCTGAACACGAGACAATCGGGTAAATAGATATTCAACATTCAACGAGGAGAATATCGAACGATGGAGAAGGTGAGAAGAGTGGATTTATGTGGTTCGAATTTATCGGATGGCATGGCTCAGTATTGCAAGCATGGTCATACTCATGTAAAATAATCTTTATTCAGATTAAATATATTGTCCTATCTCCAGCCTAAATTTGTTCTTCATCATATATCGATGATTGTTACAATACGATGGGGCAATGTAGACGTTGATGTGACTCCCACGTAAGATCTTATAGATTAGGCAGTTATGTTATGACAAATCTACAATTTTTTGGGATTAGGTCTATTATTAATGCAGTAGACCATAAAGCTATAAGGTACTATAGTATTTGCGAAATGTATAAACCAAAGACTGTCTGCATAAAGTCACGAAATTAAAACAGCAAACATTTGTGATTAGAACATATGGTCTACCCACAAAAGAAACTGCATTTTATGTCTACCAGACAACAGAATATTGGCGTGATGTTACGGTCATCCAAGTTATTACAACAGACCGCGGATATCGGTTCAAATCCGGGTTGTACAGAGTTGCAACAAACCTCTTAGAATTAACTCACCTTCAAACCACAGCGTACCGCATATAAGATAATGGAGTGGTAGAACGATTGCACCTGCGGTCGATAGCCTCATCTTACTCTATGAATACGCTACCGTCAACAAATAGCTAATACTTGCCTTATCATTATTATTATTATCAGTGGCTGTATTCAACATTGTATTTTTAGCACAATATAAAATTCTCAAAAAATATTTCAACAAGTTTCCTTTTCTTATTTCTTGGCCGACACTTGCGATAAATATTGAATGGTGGCCAGTTAAGTGTTGGCAGTTCAGGAATAGGCATTCGATCAATGTATATCCTTTTCGATGCATATTCTCAGCAACTATGATGTCTCCGATTGGGCTGTTTTATAACTTGTACAGCGAAATGTCGGAAACAATTCACAAGCGCACCTGAATTGGTGATGCGACCATTAAACCTAATCATGTATTAAACCAAACACAAAATCATACAACATGTTGAAATATCCATGCGGCAGGAACAGATGGCCGAAATATTCGCATATTTCTGAATTTATGTGACATTTCTGAACCTATTTTGTGGCCTGGAACTTTCTAGATTTTAGTCCTAAAGCACGTCAATGATCACTCATCCTGTCAGTTGTGTTAAAACGGTTCTCACATGATAGCTATGAGATTTGAAATCATGAGTACTTGTCAATTAATCTCCGATGTACCCTCTTGAAATGGATTTCGTCTGGTTGTTGTTCGCTATCACGGGTGTACTGAGAGTTCTCATAGACCTAATTTAAAATATATTTATTCACTTAAAACAGCGTACTGAATCTGTTTAAGATTATTGAAATTTCGTTTCTATACAGTCTAAAATCATACATTAAATGTGAAGATATATTTTGACAGTAGTAAACTAGCAGGTTCGAAGCAAATTCTTGACCAGTTTCATAATAGGTACTTTTAATCAGTTTCAGACAATCTCATTTGATCTCACCTCAGCTAATAGAAATAGCATTTCCTCATATACTTCAGGAAGTATAAATACCCTACAGCGACTTCAAAACATTTCAACAAGTCAGTTCATCGTATAAAGTATTTATCTTTCAAACGACAGAAGAAAATGAAGACTCTATACCTGTTTGAAGATGAAAAACTAAGAAGGCCTCCTCATAATCAACCACCATAACAGAATATCATAGGGATATACGGAAACGCTGGTGTTTGATCACAAAAACCATAAAGAGAGTACTCTGAAGACAGTAATTGTAAATTTAGCTTTCCAATTTTTTTGAGAGTAATCAGGTCCTGAAGTTCTTTACCATCCGACTTGGTTCAGAAAACTATCCAGAAATCATTTAGGTGGAGACTTCACACATGCTTATGGACTTATTTAAGCATTTCATTTTGGCGGATGGAAAATAGTTTGGTCTTTTCTTATTTTCTGTCTCTGGATCTTTACATGTAGACTTTTTACGATCTGTTAACATGATTCCCAGGGGCATTTTGATCGAAAGCTGCAGCTATTTTGTCCACAAGCGTATACATCATTTGCATATCCAGTTCTATTGATCCACTGCCGATGCATCAAAACATCTGGAACACACTTTTAATGGTAAGATGTGAGAGTAAGGATGTCAATCAGCCAATTTAATCTTAATCGACGTACATAAAAATTATTGAATATTCAGGGTTATTGAGAATTGAATTGACGGGTGTTGTTTTCATGGGTCGCTTTTGAAATCATCTGCTTGCTACTGTGTTATCGTGTGTCAAGGTTGTCCTGCGTTGTTTGGAATTGGGATATTTCCATCTGTTAATTTTTGTTCAGCAAAGCACATTCCAGAATTGTAAGACGGTTAATTTTGGTTTTCCAAGTATGGTTTATGCAATTCTCTCCCAGAATAGAGTAAGTTAACATACTAAGTTTGTTAACAAACTTGTCGTGTCAGATAATCTAATTGATATCTCTGAGTTACACTATTCATATCATTTATTATCTTTGTAGAACTAGAATTGTGGTTGAGGTTGAGGATTTCTGGTTTTATGCAGAGAGACCTCGGCTAGCATTTTGGTATACATACATCATGATGTTTATAAATATCTGTCACATTATCAATGATTAGGTTTCCATATTTATTATTCCATAAACTGCGAATATTTTGTTAGGCAAATCGCATAGTAGCCAAGAAAAATTTTGAAACCTCATAGTACATTTTGTAGACTTCTCATACAACTATATCGCGCAAACTTCCATTCGTTCTACACTTTCGAGGGACAGGAAGTGTGTCTGCAAGGCAATCACATACTTTTAAGACAATTTAGTTTACGTTTCTAAGTTTATTTCGACATTTCTGAGTTATCACATCACTATGCGGTTCCACAGAATTGTCTTATGGGATCTTTGGCTGTATACTGATTTGTTATGACACTTGACTGGGAAGAGACGTTATGAAGTATCGACCAGTCATATGGTATTTTGCGATTTATAAGACTAAACTAGTCATGTACTAAGTGTTGGCCGCATATTTTTATCTTAATACCCCTACATATTTTATGTATCAAGGTGATTAGCATTTAGTTTCTTAGGTAATTGTCAAACTATTTATAATATCCCCAACTATTTTATTATTTATTTATCTGAACACATAAATATTGGTACGAGGGCACCAAATATATATGCGCCACACAAAACAATGAGGATTCGAAGAGAGAAAAAAGGTAAGGAGCGTAAAACAAAGGAACAGTGACGAACAGATTAGTGTAAGGTAGTGTAAGAATAATAAGGATGGGGGAAACAGAAACTTACAATCAGAAGAGATCTTTCAGTTTAGGAAGAAGCAACCACTTTTTTTATGAAGAAAGTAAAAGAAGGTTACAGCAGGATCGCCACTGGCTTCTATTCTGAGCCATATCTGATAACGTCTCTAGTAACTGTGTTGCGCCATCTCTCGGACCCTAGCCAGGGAGTCGTGAAGGACCAACACAAGCCAGCCCTTTGCAGCTTCCTTTCATACCACGACACCATGTCATACACCGACCACCTCTCCGCTATTTCCAGTCAGTCCCAGAGTCCGTAGATAATGCACGATGTGGAATTCTCTGTGACGACATCCGTAGAACATGTCCAAGCCACCGAGGTCGGTGTTTCAAGATGTTGACATCAGTTGCATTATCATCTCTGTGCCCGAACACACATGAAGTTGCAACCAATGCTCATCTGTACTTTTCGGTGGAATGGTAGCTAGCCTAGAAGCAGACCAGGGTATGATCAGAGTCCAGATAGGTACTCAAAAATGAGCGGCAGTCTTTTACACAACCACGTCAGCGGTAGCTGATCGCGATGTGATCAATCTGAGTCCAGGCTTGAGATACAGGGGGAGGTCGCCAGGTGGCACATCGGCGATGACTGCCGGAAGTTAGTGCTAACCAGAAACAGGTTGTGGTCTGTGCACAGTTGCAGTAGACGGTCCCCGTTATCAGTCCTGCGACTGAAAAGTCACCATCGGCCATCTAAACGACTCTCTTCTGTGCCTAGACGCCCGACCTGAGCATTCAAGTCTACGGCTAGTACTACAATATCTGTCGAACGCACTTTCTGGAGAAGAACAGATAACTGGTGGTAGGATTCATCCTTGATTGCATCCGGGCTGCAATCTGTCTGGGCAACTTGGACCGATGCATATATATGCCTGGTCCTACGTTGCAGCTGACTGACTGTCGGGGCATAGGCGGAGATGACGAAAAGACATCGTTTCTCACGCCGATTTCTTCTCACTTTGATGGAACTTTCTAATCTAACAGCACATAACCGACTGTTAATGGGGATCCAATCGACTAGTGCTGCCTCAGCTCTAGCGCTTAGTGCGACACCAACGCCAGCAAGACCAGACGAAGATGCCACAGAGTCCCCGGATAAACGCACGTAAAACAAGCTTTTTGAAGCGACAGATGGAGAGCGAATTTGTAGTACTTCACTGGAGTCTTGAATACGGATCTCGGATAGACAACAAATGTCGATATTAAGACTTTCCAAAGACATAGCCAACCTTATCTGTTGTCCGACCTGCATAAGTGTGCGAACATTGAAGGCAGCCAGTTTGAATGGTGCACGTGGTTTCAGGAAAACTGCTTCAGTATTCGTATTTGGTGGTAGCATACAATTTTCAACCAGGCAGCGACTCGAGAACGTTTAGATAGAGCCGAATTTCCACCATAGGTGATCTTCTGTATAAGTCGAAAAGTAAGTATAGACAGAGTAGGAATAAAAGAGAGTGAATAAAAGACGTAAATAATAATGATAATAATAATGTGAATCGTATGATTGTTAATCGAAGCGAGGAAAGTATTTTCCATAATTATCGACAGTTCATCATTTGTGTGTGGGCTGTGATACTGCCCGGGTGCCCAGACCGAAGCAGGTGGCTTCTTAGGGGGCCACACCCCGAGCCTTCGACCTAAAGGTCTAACCCACAATGCAGTGAAGCATCGTAAGGAGATGCAGTCCTATGGTAGCCGGTGACCAACGATTGGTTCATACGCCATTTGTTCCCGCAGGACACTGGAGCCCATGTGCACCATTGGTTTGGGATCCGGTTAAAGCGCCAGATATTCGCTTTTCGTCCTCTCACTTTCATAAACAACACCCCCACCACGAGAAGGCAGTGATTAGGACTTCCCTGGCAGAGGCTGTATACGCGTGGCCGTGTGAGAGCATTTCGAGGAGGGGGGGCCCTCCCCACTCTCGGCCATACCAGGGCATTCGGGGGCATATCCCTAACTCAGTTGTTAGCATGTTTTTATTGCTTTGTAATAAGTGGTGTGAGTATAAGTTCATATTTATCTCCCTTGACACCTAGAAACCATCCAGAAACATTTAAGCGTTCGGTTTATGTATTCTTTTTAATGGTCTTTACGGCTACCCGGACCTTACATAACTTACCACTTGGCAATAAATTTCTTGTTTTGACCAGCATATGTATATGGCTTCCGATTTCCAAATTTCATAGCTGTTCATTTAAAACTAATGTTTATTCCTGTCTTTGCCTTGGCAAAAATTTAAGATAAATAATTATATACAAAATATTTCTTCCTTAACAGTTTATTAACTTACTTGGGTTATTCCAAGTCACAAAATTGTTTCTATTCTTGTTGGGGTTTGGCTAAATCTGTTGATCTAAATATATGAGGCATTTACCTTAATCTTGTTGTATTTACTGAGTGAATAAATAGTACTTTTTCAAACCTCTAGTTTATTTCTTATTGTCATATTACTTATGATCTTTCTATTACATTAATAATTAATGTACTCCAACTCTTAGGACCTGCCATACTTCTTAGTAAATGTCACTTAAATCTTTCAGTGACTATGTGGTTTTTTGAAGCTATCAATACGTTCCATAATATTCCGTATACATTCACCCTTTTGTACAAAAATTGAGAATATTAAGTAGCCAGATTTGTCAATGATTAGAATCGAGGCTGATTAAGGTCCCTCATTGTCAGAAATTTATTTAAAGCTGTTTGTTTGACAGCTTACATCAAAAAGTTATGTGGCAGAGGTTGATTCTAGCTTCTGTTTTTATTTGTCAGCCTAATTTACTTCTACTATGGATTAATTACTTTAAACTGATTAACTCAAATTATTTTTTATTCTCCATTGAAGATTGAGTTGCAAAGGATCAACTGATATCAACAATATCTAACTGCCTCATTAACTCTATGTTTTTATGTATTTACTATTTATCCTCCAAAATGCGGGAAAGTGAGCCTATGCGGTGAGATTATAATTTAATGACGACATTTGAGCGATGCTGAGACCTTGAGAGCTATAAAACCGGCGTGAGGAATTAGGATTAGTATTTACAGTGTTTGTAATTTGGAATTAGATATAGGGTTTTCATCACGAACTTACATCATCTATAATGCCAAGACTCTATTAAGACAAATGGATGAGTGAATTTAGCGCCAAAATCCAAAACCCGTTATCTTATACGTGGTTAGTTCGTCCATAAACTATAGTCTTGCCGCCTATGTCAGCCAAATGATTTTTTATTCCTTTTTTCTTTGTTCAACAAATTACAAGTGATACCTGTATACTAAAGGGTAGTCGAAAATAAACAAATATTTTAGTCCTTTAAATAAATATATCAGTCAAGAATCTTATCATTTATATATTTACATTTATCGTTTGATTCCTGACACAGCATTGAGCACGTTACGCTTCAAAATGTATTCAAGACAAATTATTTCAATAGTTGGATTTCACTTTGCATCACCAATACATCTGCTGATACAAGCATAAGACAAAAGATAGTTGTAAGAAACCTTTTAGGTTTTCTATTCCACTAAAAATCCCAGACTTCATCGGTATGTTAAATTATCTAATCTAAACGATTATTTGTAAAATATGGGGAATCTCAGCGCTTCCTTAGTATAATTTATTTCACAAGAGCACTTGAACTTATAAATATATTTATAAGGGTAAGTGATAAGGAGCGCTTCTATCAGTCAGTCAGCTAGTGTTGGACCTGATACGAGTGTGTAACCTCTCATCAACACACTGGGATAGTATGTGAAAATCATGGAAATAAAAACAGTATAACTTCCAATGGAACTCAAATATATGAAACAGTTCAGAAAAAACAAATGAGATTGAAGAGCATAAGTGTTCATAGCGATGGGACAGTCACATTTATTTGCACTTCAACAGCATAAATAGAATATTAACAAAAGGTGAAAAACGTTATAATTTACTTTAGTATGTAGGAAAATAGAAAAAATAGAAAAAATTCTTTTTGGATTAGGAATAAAAATGAAACCGAATGCATGTTAACCTTCGCGAACATTTCCAAGTCATGAATCAATATACCTAAGTGCCTAATTTTGAAATCTGTCGAACCCCACTCAAAATGACTACATTTTTGTTGGGGATGTTAGATCCCTATAAATCACTTGGTAAATGCCTTATTTTTGTAATTCTGATATGACGAGAAGAAAAGTCAAAATTCAATTGATTTACTTAATTATTTCCGTTTTAATTCAATGTATGGATTACTCAATGTAGTATTTGTTTTGTTTTGCTGTATAACATACGGCATTCTTGTATTAAATTAACATGAATTATACTCAGCATATGATTTTTTATAACCCCAATTATTTAACATATATGTGATTTCATCCTAATTATTAATCAAAAATGGGTGTATGGATCAATATATAAATGAGTGCGTTTCCAACTAGACTTGTCGTGGTTGTTCGTGCTTCCCTCTTCTAAACTTAGACTTCTCTCTCTAGTTAGCTGGACTGGGATGAGTCGGAATAGCTAGACTTATCTGTGATTGTGTCACAGTCTTTGTTCCGTTCTCAAATTAGATGAACTCGTAATCGTTTCAAACATAGCAATTTTAGAAACAGATCAGATCAGGAATAAGTGATTACGCTATTTTTGTACTGCCCTGACCTTGTTGGTTTTCTTATTAGGATATTTTAGGATAGTCAAACACTCTTTGTAATATTTAAATGTGTAAACAGATTGGTAGCTAGGTGTTGTTTACGGCAATACTCTACATATCTAGGAATTAAAAGGTAATAATACGGTTAAAATTGATGATAAACTTTTAAGGTAACCAATTCAAATAATTAACTGCAAATATTTATGACTCCATTCTTTATTGCTGGGTGTAAATCTTGAATAGGCATGGGTTTCTTCAACTCTTCAAATTTGCATTTTCAGTATGCTATTATTCGTATGGAAACTAATTATTGAAGACTTTGACGACTACCTCTTAATTTCTGACACCAAATATAATATAACACGATAATTTCTCACTTAGTCAGACAACTGCATCGTTTTCTTTTCTTGGTGAAATATAATTTATAATGAAGGACTCAATATTTACCTTGGTTTCCATCGAACAATCGACTCATCCACTATAGCAGACAGTATTTGGAATGCCAGCTATCGGTGTAATTACAGTTATAGGTAAATGTATTTGCAAGTTTATTATAAGTATACTTATTATCTAATGGTTCATTTCATAGTGCTCAAAATTTTGTCTGGTTCTATGGGACAGTAAGGTTGCATAATAACGTTTCACGGGATAGTTTTTATAATGTATGTAATATGCTTTTCCAATTTAGGTATTATTACACATTGAACTGAATGTGAGAGATAACTCAATAATTAGCGCGTTACTTAAATACAACCGACCAATTCACTCCAAAGATTTAATTTATTATTTAATCTCATGCAGCTCATTAGTCAACTACAGGTTCATATGCTTAGATCTAAGCTGCAATCTTGATCTTGAACGCACTACATATTCATTCAGAGCTCCAAAGATAAATAATACACATTTTACTGTATTCAAAACTAGTGGTTTATGGATGCTGTATTTAGTAATTGCTTTGTTTTTCTTCACTAGTAAAAAATTATTTAATATATCAATGTTCGGTTTTGATTTTTATTTTATATATCACTGTCTCCTATTGCTACCATTCTTAAACTGTTATTTCAACGTAGTTCAGTTCCTTTCAAAGGATAACTATAGAGCGGAAGTGTTTAACATATCTTCCAAAAATTTTCATTCTACCCCAGAACAAAATTACATTTTATGGACTAAATTGTAGGAAATTTGTTTTGTTCTAAGTTTACAAGAAAAGCGCAGTTATAAACGGCGCCATTTTCTCAACATTTGACATTTTTGAAAAATATGTTTAGTAGTTGCATAGAAAGGAAACAAATAATAATTTTTATGCTATTTATCTGACAATAAGATGTTGAACAGTTTTCTTTTTGTAAACATATCAATTCTACATTGTTTGAAATTTTCATTCATTTTTAAACAGGTACTTTTACCCTTTCAAAACAATGTCATCCACATAAAATTAGTAATGTCTATCTTAGTACTGATGAATTTATTTAAAATAGGCCTAACATTACTAAAATATAAAGTTGAAGCTTTCCTTACACTTTCTATCCAGTTTTACTTATTATTTTTAAAGTTGACTATTGACGTTAGACTAAATAATTGTTTTTTATTCTGAGTAGTAACGAAAAAAAGTATGACTTATTTTAGCATAGATAATTCAGGCTTAAGTGATATTTTTATTTAAAAAAAGAATACTAGTGACTTATTTTCATTAGAACTCTTCCTTAAGTTGATAAGTACACAATTGGATGAAATATAACTACTCAAAAATTCGTAAATTTATATCAATCTGAAAGTCCCACCAAATCACGATAAGGGAAAAAAGAATGGTTAGGAGAAGGTTGTCTGCGTAAGAAAAAAACCTAGTCGTAATAGTCGTTTAAATATTTCCGACAAAAAAAACTTACCATTAATTGCTTGTATCATCGCATGTTGTATCTATATGCCGACTAGTTATTTTGGTTTAGGATATAGAGGGAGTTGAATAACTCATATATGATCAACTTATACCCTATTCCTCATGTGTTGAAGAAAATCACTAAAGCGAATCGGTTTTCCAACTACGGGTCATTTTCATTTAGACTTAAATAGTTTGTAAATAGAGTCAGATGATTTTTATCTCTTAATCGTTAGCTAGGTACCAATAGTTGGATCGTTCTACTGCTAGATCCCTTTTTCTCGTCAAAAGAAATAAATTTAATCAAATAAATGCAGATATCTGGTCTTCATGAATTTTGATTTAGTTGATCAAAGTAGGAGGCACAATGAAGCTCTGTAATGAGTCGTACAGCCTTAAATGTCTACGTAAGCTAATGTTATTCCTACATGAAATTCAAAGGAAGTACATCAGACTGATATCACTGAACTCATTTCTGAAAACCATATTAAGTATAAGACCAGAAATGTCTTGGTTCTCATGATTAATTCATTTGATTAACCAGTGAAATTGTCGGATGTATGTTTCCTAATAATCAGCAACTAATATTAGTCTTCAAATTAACTTCAACATACCACACATTAGTTCGTTAGCATAAAATAAAACTTCTCACAAAGTTGTAATGGGTTTTCAATATATATATGGTCTTTTCTAACGATACTTTATTTAAACTATTTATGTGAATATGAAGTAAATATAAATGATTTAGATAAAAGGTTTTTTGGGAACCAGTCTTACATCCTCTAAAGTATTTTAAATCCTCTCTATTCAGCTGAAATATTTTTCTCTTATGAACAGCGGCATACTTACTGATGTCACCCAATTGATATTTGAACATTAGCCATAAGTTCTTTAAACTAATAAGAGTAACTATGTCCATGATTGTCTAATTACCTTTGGATCACATTTCTGATATAAGGATGAGTGCTACCCCCTAGCTACCTAAACTGAAGTGGAGTTCAAACCTTCAGAACAATGGTCTTAGCAACTATGGCACTAAATTATCACCTGCTACGCAAAAACATATTTTTCTGAAAGCACAGTTTCCGGATTCATCCGAACTGTAACAGTGTAGTCTACAACAGAAATATATGAAATATGTATCTCAGGTAAGAAAATAACCTGGGACTTCTTAGCGCCTGAAGATCAACTATAGTTAACGATAGCTGTTGTTACCGTAATAGATGTAATGAAGTGCAGATAATTACAAAATAGTATGAAAAATATGCAGGGTAAGATTATCTGCAGTATCCTGATAAATTTTAAGCTGTCAGTATAGGGGTTGTGGAGAGTAGTAAGTTTTTGGTTGAGACCATGAACCAACTGATGCTAGACCACTGTTGGAAACCTGTAAGCACTGGACGGCCGTTTTTCCCTATTGTGGGACTCCTCAACAGTGCGCATCCACGATCCCGCTCGCGGAATTTGAACCCAAGGCCTTCAGTCTCGCGCGTGAACTCAACCTACTAGACCAATGAGCCAGCATCCAATGGTGTTAGTGTCTAACATCAACCAATCTACGAAGTTGCGCGACCATCTTCCATTGTACTGAGGTAAATACCTGTCTCTACCCGACACAGATTATATCCACTAGTCACGGTTTCTCACTAGAACTCCGAGAATTCCCTCACGAAGCTAGTCACTGGTGAGCGCATATTAATTATAGGGGTTGTGGAGATTATTAAGTTTTTAACTGAGGTCAGGTTTCCAACAGTGGTCTAACATCAATCGGTTCATGATCTCAATCAAAAAGGTTAAGCTATGTCATCCAATCTCTAATCGCTTCAACTTCTTACTTTTTGAACATTAACCAAGAAACTTAGAATTCAAGACATTTATTCTCCATGCCGTTATTTGTTAGGTAGACTTAGAATTTGACGTAATCACCATTTCTTTCATCCTACTTCATTCAATTAGTAAGTTAATTTATTTTTTGAATATGAACAAATATATCTACTCAATCTATACGATTATAGTGAGAGTTGATCAGGTAGGTAGGTAGGTATACATACTGCACTTTACTATTAATACTATTTAAAGTAACATTGATAAAACGAAAAACAAGACAAAACACATTGAAGTGTTTCCAGTTTAATTAATCACGTTAGTTGTTATTTCAAATAGATTTTATTTTTCACATATCTAAATATTTTTCTTTTTCATGAACTATGCATGACTCATTCAATTTGTTGAAATGAAAAAAAAAATATATTTTTTTTTGTATTTTGTTTGTCATGATAACTATCTCTTTATTAACATCATTATTAATTCGTAATAACAATAATAATCAATAAATATAACAATTAAAATGAAATCTGAAGTTAAGGTCAACAAAAGTTCCAGTTCTATACAAGATCTATGCTAGTTGATTTTTTTTTCCAAAAAAAATATGATATTCATTCGTGTAACCATTTTGGAAATAAAAAATTTTTCCGTTACAAAGTATTATTAATCTGACACTAATAATGGCGCCAATAACGTAAAACTACTTGGAATAAATATTTAAACATCGATCGCATCAGTACACTAAGGTAGCTGGGTAACTAAAGGGTGGTGTACCCACCCAACAAATAATGGTCGGTCTTACCTTCAACTGCTTTCAGGTTTTCAATAATTATCTATTTCTGATCGGTTCGTGATTTTAATGAAATTCAACATCTTCACAACGCTATACTATACTATTAACAGCTTATTCAACTTTAAAACCCTGTAGTTTCACAAAAGAAGTGAACATTCCACTCAAATCAGTACATACACTCATGTTTGGCATTCAGGAGGTGAAGTGGATTTGAGTCATTCACTGATTAACCAACAACCAAATTTTAAAATTAGTGAACACCAATTTCATGTCTATTTCAAGTGATTATTATCAATTTTAGCCAGGAATTTCTGAAAACTACTCAGAACTTTTGAATAATCAGTATTCAGGTCTAAATCCCAGCGTCGATCCAACATAAGTTGTCCTACTAAAAGTTTATCTTTCAACCAAACCTTTTGATCAATCCAAGTCTCAGAAGGTTTACGGTAAAAATTTAGATTAGAAATTAATTGCAATAACCAATGTGAGCTAAAGAATCTTTGTTTAACCGTTAAAACTCAAGATAATGTGGGGGAGGGAGGAAAAGAACCTTGGAAAACAAGTTCGATCTAAAAATAAGCGTGTATATATGACGTTATCCAGTACACTAAAATCAGTCCTCATATCATATCGACAACTACTGAATTATTATTGAAAAGCAGCGTATTGATTAGTTGTTTAACTCTACTACATTATTTCAATATCTTCCAATTTATTTTACCAATTATATCCCGTCGCGCCAATGTGTTATGACATCTTGGGACAATGCTTATCTTCGTCAGGCTCTATGTTGATGATAGTTGACTGACTGACAACATAACATTACATTTCTTAACATATTTATTATTTTACCGAATTGAGACCGATTTAAGTCATCTCCTTTTTCTGTTCTTTAGGTCTCTTATGCTTTTTCTAATGGTGGTTTTACCAATCAATCAAATATTTGGAAAACAAAGGTAAACAGAATAACAAGTTAATTTCAAGTAAAAAGCAATTAAAAACAAAAACTCGAAATTATATTTAACTCCTCATCCTCCTCCAATCCCTTCTATTTTACCAATGACTAAAATCTGTTTATTTAACAAATACAAACTTCAAATTAAACAAGCTCTAGATGGAAATTTCATTGTACTTTATCAACCTGCTCCAAATTCATTTATTATCATACAAAAAAATGAAGGAATTACACATAATAAAAGTGATCATAATATTCATCAAGAAAGTGATCATCATGATAACTTAAATTCTTCTAGTATAAATATAAATGATTGTCAATCAAAATCTCATTCACGTCGTCAACGACGACAACGATTTCGTGTAGTTATTGGACCACAATTATGTAATTGTCAAAATGGAATTATGCATGAAACAGGAATGACTAATAAGTTAATTGAACCATGTGTTCATTTATTGTTTGTTATGTTGCATGTTCTTAAAATACCGATTGATGATCCACATTTAACGGCAATACCTTTACCTAGTTCAAAAGTAAGTCATGTTATTTGACAGATTATAATAAGAAATGAATATTTCACCATTCTTAAAGTCTAATTTCCCTATTTGTAGCCAAATATCATTTAAACATGTATGTAATATCAAAGCATTTTTAGGTTTCGAATCCATATCGTTCAGTGTTACACTCGTTAATATTATAAACGGTTTATTTGAGCTACAAAACGTTTCTACGAGTATTTATTATGTCAGTCAATTAGTCGGTGCTTTCAATTTAAAACAATGACATCCTAATGAGTTAAAATGAGTAATTTAAGTAATGAAATATTTAAGGAAATATGAAGATGAGAAACTATTGGATTACGATGAAGACTTGATGAATTTGTGTCATTGATCACGATTTTGAATTAGGTTATGGACTTTTGATATCTTATAATTTTTAATCCTCACGTGAAATGGAATAAACAAACTTACATAGAAAAACTTCGCTTGTCAATAAAACGTAGATTTATTGGGTTACTTACGGTAATTCGGCTCTAAGTTTTACAGGATGATAACAAACCGTGAAATCACAAATCCACATTGTGTTTTATTTAGGCCTCGTCAAACACAACTTAGTGAGTTTTAGTGTTGCGAATAAAAGGCTTGTAAGCTGAATGTGTTTAGTTCAATCCAAGAAATCAACAACTAATCCATCTCAATATTGAACGATGTTTAATTGCGTTAATCTATTAGTGGTCTTAGTTTAATAATAAAAATACTATAATAATAAATACTATTTGACAATTTCACCATAGTAATGTAAAAATGACATTGGTAAGTACGTTACTCGATAATGTTTGGTAATTGAAGTTACTTAAAAGGAAATTTTAGGCTTACATTTCATGAGTCAGTGACGTGTGTCTGTAATTCTCATGGAAATAATGATCCCCTAAAGATTGACTACTTTCAAACTAGGATTTGCTGTCCGATTTGTAGTGACGTTTCAAATTGTAAGTACATGATTACAAAACATTTCTCAAAATATTTTGAACTTATTTATGAGTATAAATTTTTTCCAGGCTGAATTTTGGATTGAAAAGTATCGCAATCATCGTCATTCATTAGTCCAGTCCTACACTAAAAATAGAAGAAACTCAAATACATTGAAAAATGAAGGAAATCAACCGGAAACACTTAAGTTGCCAGAAAAACTAATCAACTCTGAAATATCAAACACACGTTTAATCATTCCTCAGCCCATTCGTCATGAAAAGACAAATAACTTTCTTCATTTACGTGCTATTATGAATCCAAGTGCCCATGATTCTAGTGAATTGTCATCGATCACACAAGACATTGTTCCTGTATCTAGAAGAGAGACTGAAAGTGCAGGAACATGTGACCCAAGTACTTCATATACAGCAGCAACCTCAAGGACAAGTTCCATCGATAGTATAGAAAGCTGTAAATTAGACTCATCCTGTCGATCAAATGACCAACATTGCCGTCCCCGCCATCAAACTACATTTTCGTGCTCCTCTAGCTCGGAAACGGGTTTGTCCTGTCGACGGCCTCAAACTGCGCCTCAGCCTGAACTTCCACCCAGACTAGGTCGAACAAGAGCCAAGTTTGTCAGGTATTTGTCATTAATATTACAATTGTCATAACATGTCCACATGTATACACATTTATATACTATCTGATAATTCTAGAGAGTTGGCTGAATCACGCCAAAAAGACGCTTATTGAGAAACTAGTGAAAGCCTTGAAGTAATAGGATATATTTTTATATCATATGATCTAGTATTCCACAAAGAATACCATCTATCATTAATACCAAAATCCAGTTTGATTTCTCCACCCACTACTTATTAGCAAATCACTTTGAAGAGAAAATCAATAAATCTATAATAAAAACCAATGAGAACAGTCAAATCGAAGAAGTTGAATATTTTTTATTTAAACTAGCAGTGAGACTTATTGTGAATCTACCTTAGTGACGAGGTTCAAGATAGAATGGGATGATCCTAAGTTACCAGAGATTTTTAAGCTGAAATGAAAACTTTACCTTCAACTGTTTTTAATTTTATCAACCTTTTTATGACTATAAAAGGAAGGTGACTATCTAGTTATTTGTATTGTGGTTACTTTTTCCCAACACAATAATTGAATACACGTTTTTTTGAATCAGAAATAATTTGCCAAAATATCTTGACACTGATTCATATTACCACTAGGAATGGGTTTTTTTCGTGTCACCTTATAAATCATGACTGATTGGATTTCATTACTGTACGTCAATAAGATGTTATGTACATAACGGCTGATAATACCAGTTAAAATTTTAAAAAATAGGTGTATATTAATGAAGATGATTGATCACTGGATAGTATTGGTCAATGTGTTTTTTCGTCTAATGATTAGTGAGAAGCAAATTCGATAGATCAATTTGTCATCTGGACATTAGTCTAAGTGACTCAGCATCTCACGGGCTATTGCCTTAATTGTATACATTAGAGTTGACTGCGATGCCATTCAGCCTTAATTATAAGTGATGTGAATCATTACCAATGCTTGTTATTTCCATCAAATTGTCTAGTTTTATTTATCATATAAATTACCTCTCTCTACATAAAACTACTGGACATTTGCGTACATTCATAGGGTTGAGTTTTAAATTTTATGATAAATTTAACCTAACAATTTCGGTTGTATAACCTGGACCTGATTGTACAATTTTTCGTGATTGTTTTAAAGGTCACGCCTGTATCACATATAAAACCCATAATTTTGCTGTCTGTAAACAAGTTTACGTAAGAAATTTGTCCTATCTAAAACTAATGTATTATTTTTCTTACTGCGTTCTGGTACCTGTCTAGACGTTTAAGACTATTTATAAAAACTAAACATTGTATACATAAATCAAATATCATGGTAATAAAAGCTAAACTCATCTCAGTTCGCATTATTTATAGGCTGAATTTCATTTCTGTATGGTGGTAACAACTTGTTTGAATAATTATGATTATTACACTTAATAAATCATACACCACATTACTGATCTGAAGTAATCGGTATCTAGGATATACATACAGTTCAATTATAGGCATGAATTTCAACTCGTTTACTCTAGTTTCTGTAAAGTGTTTTACTCGTCAATAGTTTTGAAAAGAAAACACGAGCTTGTAGTTATGTTTTTATTCAACGAATGTCTAAGTCATACATTATCAAGCTATTCGGGACCAATTCAAGCTAATATGTACTGAAGTTCGGATAAATTTACTTTTTATATGCAATTAATTAACAAAAATGTTCGTATATAATCTTTGAATTGAAAACTTAGCTTAGGAAAAATTTATTCGCTTCGGTTAGAAAAGCAGACAAATTTGTCTCATTTAAAACTTTATGCTTCGCTTAAACATAAACATAAGTTTTCTTCATTATGACATGATACTAGTTGATGAACTACGGATAATTACCATACACTCGTTTTTTCCCAATTTAAGGATCATCAATACATCACATGAACGTCTATCATCAATACAATTATGAAAAGATGACCCTATAAATCTCTTCCCAAATACTAATTTAGTATAAAATAAGACATTCTAGATTGTATTTATGTTTGTGCATGTAGTTTTCATGATTGTTTCACGAATAAATTCATGAAAAATAATACTCGTCTCTTAAAATTTAATTTATTATCTTTTCATAATTATTCTATATCATTATTATCCGGATTATGAAAAAAGGAAAGAATCAAATGGTCCATTCCACTATTTACTTTAATACACATATCGAATATAAAAAAACTCTTTTGAATTATTTAGTTGAATTCA